TGGGTGCTTGGCTTGAAAAAGTTCCATCCTAACAGAATGAAAAGTTGAAAGTTAAATCTTACCACATCAGGAGCAGAAGAGGAAGCTGATCCACTGTCCTTCGTAGTTCAACCATTCATAGCCAGTGTTTGTAGACTGAAAGTTATACAGTTCAGAGAATAAAAGAAAAAACACGGGGATTTACAAAAGAAAGCCCACGAGCAGTGCTACCCAATTGCCCCTTGATGCAGCACACGTTTTTCTACGGTTTAAGGGCCTCTGTCAACCGGATGTTCTCCCGCTGCGGTCCAGAGGTATTTTCTCCTCGTATCTTTAGACCGAGCTTCTACAGGGTGGAAAATAATGAAAAGGGAAGAAAGAAGGAAGGAAGAGAATGGTTTCGCGGTTGACAAATATCCGGAGACCCTGTACCATTTCCAACCGACTTGTTGGTTTGTTCTCCTTCATTATAAGCTGCCTCAACCCGTATTCGAGAAGCAAAAGTTTAGTTCTCAGGATGTGCAATACGTTGTGCTCCAAAATGAACCCATGAGCGGATTTCGCATCGTCAGAGTAGACTTCAACGTGATCGCAGTAAAGTTATCTTTCTACTTAGAGGGAAGGTTCACCTCACAAGCTCCCAACTATAACTTTCCTTTCTCTTCCCCTCGGGAAAAATCATGAGGATAGGTGTTTTCTCCTTTCTTGCTTTCTTATTACGTAGTTCTATATTCCATTTGAATTGTAAGGTACACTTTCAGTCAAAATAAATAAGAAACAAATTTTCACAACTCACTCCTGACGGGACTTGGAACGCATATGAATGCTCTTGTTCGTCCAATTCCCACTGCCCAACACGATAATAGTAATCGTGTGTGGAGCTTACAAAAGCGATCAAAATCATTCGAGGGCAAATAGCAATGGTCAAATCCATCCACTTGTGAAGTGGCCGGCACACTCTGGAACATTCACAAGTATAGGGAGAAAGGGAGAATGCATGGCAAATAGCTGGACAACGGATTGCCCACTTCTTATCCTCAAGGAATTTTCAGAAAGAAAAAAAGAAACTGCACATGAATGTAGAATCTTACCTCTTGGTTACTGAACTCCCAGTTGAATGGCCTTTCTTCATAGTCAAGCTTAGCCATATCTGCCAGCATCAGGAGGTTGTCCGACTCCTCCATAATGCTTGAAATAATATGTATTCTTTGTTTAGATGATTACGACACCAACATACATGAGATTTCATTTTGACGAGGAAAACATGGAAAAAATTTTACGGGACCAATAAACAATCTGTTATATTAGGATAACCCACTCCCGTTCTCATTCCCGAATCGTTCACCCAGGAACCAGATTGTACGTCAAGTCACACTAATTTACCGTCACTTTAAATTTCTTAACACTTCTGTATTTATAGATTCTGCTGAGATCAGTCATGATTGAAGTAGGTCCTTCGCAAGATAACTGAGTAATGTGCAATAAACTTGACCCGCACCTCACGTTTACTGGGCTAGGGTGCTAATCGCCAGAGCCCATACTCTTAGCCTACGTACTTTAATGCTAGCTTCGTCAGCCTCCACATCAATGACATGAGCATACAAGGGTTGGCCGATATCAATGGAGAAGTGCAAGGCTAAGAGCTTTGTATATTCCAAACTTGCGATGATAACTGCTACTGAACACCGCAGTTCGCGATGTAAAAGCTATCTCAGAAATACCGAGTTATTGATAAAAGACTTGCTCCCAAACGAGTTCTAAAAACGATTCTTCTCACTGAAAAAAAAACAAAGCTAGGGTATTCTATTACACCAGGAAATTCGCGTTCTGTAAAACAAAACCACAGAGAAACAGCTATACGAAGAAGAAAAAAAAAACGCATACGCATGCAAAAAGCCTGGTGCAAAAACCCGAACTTTTATTCATTTATCTGCTACGTCACAACAGGACGTGCCCCTCAAAGGAGGCCGAGAATAAATTTAAAACAAATCGTAAAACTAAATGAATCAAACATTCGTTAGCGAAAAATAAATTCGGGCGCTATTCGACACAGGAGGGGCACAAGTTTTTGCTAATTCTTTTGATGAACAAGTTCTATTCTGGTGATATATGTAAACTCCCGTAAAGCTGCGGAATCGTATAAGTGAGCCACAAGGTTACACGGGCCAGCTTACAAGAAATTGCAGGTTTTCACAAGGTGATTTTTACAGGCTCCCCGCTCAATACCATTTCAAACCCCAGCAAGCCGAAAAGCCCAGTTCCGACTCTTAAAAGAGTGACTGGTGCCAGAAGAAATGTTGAAGAGGAAACCAGTGAAAAGAATTCATTCTTGAAATGGAATGTTTTGGAATATTTTTTAATGTTTATAAAAAAAACTCAACCTACAAAAACCACGTTATACATACTTCATCTTTAACTGTCATAAGAAACCGCTGGCCTCCTTCTTAAGCCACAATAAAACATATTGAATTGAGCACTCAGTTGGACAACTACCACCTTTTCAGGTTCGGAAAACCTACCAGAGAGAGAAGATATTTTTTCAAACAAGCAAGAGGGAGACTGGCTTACTTGGCTAAAGCACGCAGTGTTATTCTCTCCGAGCACCATAACGACTCTATCGATAAACGCATTCATAGTAATACTGAAATAGTAGGTGAGGCAAACACCTAATCTGACAGCTACCATTTATCACAGGCAAGAAATAATTTATTCCGATGAAAATGGCAAGCAAATGTTGGAGCAATATGAGCAAATTTCAAAATAAATAATGAATGTATAGAAAAAGTGAACGCAAGCAGAACCCTATAAAGTGAGTGATAGCCACAGAAAGCAAACAAATAACAATGCTCAGAGGATGGAATCATAAAAGGAAAGGCAAGGAATGAAGAAAGGAAAAGCGGAGCAATTAGGGCAATTTTTTTTGAAAGCGAAAATACAGTAACGAAATAATACGTTCCTATATTTTCGCTTTCAAAAAAATTGCTAACAAGGCAACAAATAAAAAACGAGCAAATTTTAAAAAAGGCACTATTTACCCTTTACTGCCCCAGTCATCCGAAATCAGGCCAGTTCCTGACCGACTTTTTTCTCCGTGGGCAGATTTTGCTCAAATGTTGTCTCCTGGGGTAGTTTGACCTCCAGAATACGAATATCACATTCGCTCAGCCCAAAACTTCCTTGGCGCCGCGCCACAGCCCAATTGATTTAGGGTATTTTGGCGCCGGTGCCCGTGGTGCGGGCGCCAGGAGGTTTCGGGTTGAGCGGATGTGATATTCGTGTTCAGGGGGTCAAACTACCCCTGGGAGCAAGTTTTCAGCGAATTTGGTGATTTCGAGTATTTTGGCGCCGGCGCCCGTGGCGCGGGCGCCAGGAGGTTTCGGGTCAAGCGGATGCAATATTCGTGTTCAGCGGGTCGAACTACCCCCGGAGCCAAGTTTTCAGCAAATTCTGCCCACGGAGAAAAAAGTCGGTCAGGAACTGGCCTGATTTCGGATGACTGGGGCAGTAAAGGGTAAATAGTGCCAAAGACTGTTTTCCGATCTGTTTCTGTTGCATTAATTTTCTTCTACATCAAAATAATTATACAACGCAAAAAGTTCAGTGAGGGAGGGGGGGGCATTTTGCACTTTCGTTGCTTCACTAGTTCTGGTTTACAAGTCTCACTCTGGTGAAACCTGTGAACTCTTGTGAAGCTGGAGCAAGCTCGTCGAGCCACCATGGTAAAACCTGTCAACTCTTGTAAGCTCATGAAATAGCTCTCCGGAAGGCTCGCCAAGTCGATGAGAAATAGCAAAATTGCAAAAACCTCCCCCTTCCGAACTACCTCTGCAAGAATACAATAACAAATCAATGCAAAAGCGTCACTGTCGGTAAATTTTGTAAAGCAGTGCTTACTAGTTAAAGCAAAACGTTATTCACATACTTATCACGAACATTTATATAGCAAAGTTATTTAAGGGACGTTTCACGTCGATAAGGCCGATTAGTAATGTACAGATGGGTCAGTTACCAGAATTTTCGTGAATAGCATCATAAATTAGCAGGCAAAGATGAAAACCGTTGGAGAAGGACGATCAGAGCTCCGACCTTCCGCTTCATTCGCGTCAGCAATTTTTCAGCGCTCTGCAAACACTCATTTCAGCAAAGAATCCAAGCAAACAAATAATCACCGACTCCATGTTATACAATAAAAGCAAAGCTGGTTTAAGTTACCTCTACGTTAAGTAGATATTAACCTTGATTCACTACCCCACTCACTCTCATGACGAATCAAGCGCACCATAAAAGGTATGACGGCCAGAACAAGGCACACATTCAAGATCATCTGGAAAACAGCGCAAAGATATACTTGTATTGAAAGCTTTCCAAAAATTAGGAATCAGAAACTGTTTAAAAATGTCTCACAGAAGCAATAAACAGGTTCCTATAATTGTTGTAGCGGTATTCACATGGCACTGGACATTGAAAATGTGGAACCCACGTGATAACATGATCTGACACCTGAACGAAGAAACTGAATGCGCACAGATCACTCAAATTAGTATCCTTCTAAAGATCAAAGCACTGATCGAAGAAACGGTTCTTCACATACAATGAAAAATTTCATTTCTGGGAAAAACGGGTCAAAGTGGTAACTGGGCCAGAAATGCGGCCCTGGCATTCCCAAGGAATCTGATAGTACAGTGACTCCAAATATGCCAACAGCAGAACCTGCTCAAAGGCTTGTGAACCAGCTGGTTACAACTTCAAGATTTTAAACTGGTTAAACTCGCTGGTTGAACATTACGTCCAGTGCGCGCCGTTTCGAGATGCGACCCCTGACCCCCCCCCCTTCCCACCAGCGAAGCAGGAAGGGGTTACACCTCGAATAAAGCTGGAGGGAAAGGGTCGTATTCACCTTCGAGAAAAATGTTACTGGTCGTTTACTTCTCTAGGAATTCTCTTCTCTTGTACGCTATATACGTCCACTCCTTCTGTTCGCTCAGATTTGGTAGTTTTCTTTTTTGGAGAAAAACTGTAAAATTTTAGGAAGACACCGGAAAGAGGTAGGAAGTTGGGAGAGCTGGGAAAGATGATTGGTAGCATGGGAAAGGATGGGTCCTACAAGAGGTGTGAGTATGAGGGGAAAGGAGGTGTTCTGCAAATTTCTCCCTCAACAGCAGAACGTGCCCTAATTAGAGCGTAAAGGGAACTGTTAACAAACTCAACAAGCAAAAACTCACATTACGGATTCGATCACTGAGCACTTTAGCGATAGATATAACAGTAGTATTTGTGAGAATATCTTTCGGACGAAGCTCACTCAAGAAGGATTCCTCAATCGATGCCGCTACCTGAATGGACTCAAATGTACTACAAGAGAAAGGCCAAGCATGAAGAGTTCATGGATATAGAATGAGGTGAACAAGAAGTATGAATAGAAAACAGATAGAAAACAGTCGCTACTGAATTGTAATAGCTGTTTGAGCTGTAGGCATTCCCCCATGTTTAAAGAAAAGAACTAAAAGTAGCACAAAGCGCCGAGTAATATCAACTAACGGCATCCATGTCTTGTCCTTCCGGTTTGCCGTGCCGACGATACCATTGATCGATGTCTACCTAAAACGCAACTGAATCATGATCATGACAGGAAGCAAAGATCCATAATGGTCAGCATTGTCGTTGACCAATGGGGGATGGGATAAAAGCGATGGTGCCGTTATCCCATATGTGGCCCTTAGGTCTAGCTTCGCCCAAACCAAGGGTATCAGCTTTCCAACAAGGCATGTCTTGCCGACGGGGTGTGGGGGTGGGGTGGAAGGAATTTTGACCGAATACAACCCTCTCAAAGTTCCTGCACTGATACCACCCGCCCCTTCTTGTTACCTCGTCCCAGCTATGCTTTTCGTAAATTTTCTCCAGACTCCTGCAACTTACTTAGGTTTTCCGGATACTTTTCAAAAACTTTTCAGTTTTCCAACTGCGGACAGGCAGACCTAGCGCACCTGAAACTAACCAAATACGACTCGCTGGAGATTCCCAAGAGAAGGCGGCTGTACACCGTGCTCTTTTTTTTCAAGTCGGCAAATCGGCACGAAAATCAAAATCAGCAAAAACTGTCAATTCTACATGGCTGCCCCCTACCCCTCTCAAATTCATTACACATGTTAAATATGCACCCCATCATTCTGAATCGCTGTCGGTGTGTCACAAAAAGGGGAATAGCAACGACAAGCGTTCCTTTCTCCGGTGAATCAAACGAGTATTACCTGAACAGCAATGTAATGTCGTAGCTGCCCAATCAACACTCTAGAGAAAAAATTTGCTGTCGAATTCCAACATGACAAATCATCATCGTCCAAAGCACAGTGGGTGCTAAAAACTTAGCAAGTTACTGTGGACCTGGAAACTAACTAAACACTGCAACTATATTGTTTAGTAACTGCTGTTTAACGCCGCAGTGCGCGATCCGAAAGCTATCACAAGAATGCTGAGTTATGGGCAAAAGTCGGACCACGGACGGGATTCGAACCCGCATCTTCTGCTTTCCGTGCAGCTGCGTTCCCTATTACGCTACCGAGGCCACTTTTGACCACTCAGCTCAGCGCCTTCAAGGCAATGGGACAAACAGCCATTGAGCTGAGTGGTCAAAAGTGGCCCCGGTAGCGTAATAGGGAACGCAGCTGCACGGAAAGCAGAAGATGCGGGTTCGAATCCCGTCCGTGGTCCGACTTTTGCCCATAACTCAGCATTCTTCTGATAACTGCAACGATATTTTTTTAGAAATGTATGTATAATAATATAATATCTGCGCTATCCACGGTCTACTGCTCCTCCCCCCCCCACCTCCTTTCCCTAGTGCAGGCTAGATTTTAACCGCAGTTTTTACTAAAGGTAGATTTCACCAGAATTTTGGTCCCGAAGGTAGCTTGACCTAGCAGACTCGCAAACCTGGTCCTAGAACTCGATCACATTCGTTCGGCTCACAACTGCCGGACACACGGGTCATGGGCTTTTGCGTCCGCTCCGGACTCAAAACGAACATTGCTGATAACTTGCACCAGAAATAATTTGACCCAGTGAACAGAAATAAGATATTTACTTTTAGTCAAAAAAAGGCCGGGTAAGTGTACTACAGCCATCGACGCCAGAACTGATCGCAGGCGATAAGAATTTTTGTCTCGAGAATGGTATTATATGTGTGTTAATGGTTTCAGACTAATTCGGGCAGTTTCGGCCACACGTACTACCCCAGGGAGATTTCCCGACCAAATTTAATGTGAATTTTGACGAGGAGGCACTGAAGGGTAAATAGTGCCGAGATATCAAATAATGAACATCGTATGAAAGCTGTTCCCCTAGTGGATATCCAAAACACATATTTATCGCTGCTACCTCATTTGGGCTACTTATTTCTGGGCTGTTAGGAACAAGGTGTGATGGAAATTCCAAATTTGTATAGCAAATTAAACAGCTTGTGACATTTTGCTCCTGCTTCAGTTCTTCAGTGCAAGAATTATTTCTCGAAGTTTACGGAAAATTTCGGAACCTCTTAAATGCTACTCAGCTCGCTACTGCTCAGGTACATGGACGTTTACTTCCAAATTTCTATTTTCCGCAGAACCTCAGTTTTCCAGCTTTCCAAACTCAGGAGCTCTCACCATTTCCCCTAAAAGGCTCGACTGTAACCCATCCCCACCCCC